GTGAAGAAGACAAAGAACTGAGAAAACCTACTGGCTTTGTAATGAATTGATCATTGGTGAACACTAAGAGATGTTTCAATGGAATAGTAGGAAGGGGATGGAAGCCATTGCAAAGGAACACAACTGTGTGGGTGATATAGGAATCAAGAGCACAGGAGCAGAAAACTCTGAGAAGATTGGGAATTAAGAGAAGACATTGAAAAGTAGCTTAGGAGATTATAACAGGACCGACAGGAGGTTTTGGTTTGGGATCAGGGAATCTTGATCATGTGAGACACCAATGGCAATGAAGGGGCAATGTCAGAGAGAGGAGATCATCGGGGAAGGATGGGATCATTAACACTGTCTGAAATCAGAAATATGTTCCTGGAAAGAAGAGGAGAGAGGGAGAGGGAAAGATAAACTGGGGATGAAGAAAGAACAAGATGATGGTGGAAAGTCTAGAGTTCCTCAGTACTATGGAAGCCAGAAAGGACTGGAGTAAAGAAAAGAGCCAGGGAATGCAGCCAGGATGCTGTTGCCAGGATCCAGGGCAAGAAAAGAAGTATGTGGACTGGAACCAACATGGAAAAGGAAGCATAGAAGATGCAGCTACCCGTAATTTTCAAAAGCAAATCAATATAACTTGGGGCCTTCAGAAGCTATAGGAGATTAAAAATAAAAAATGAATAAAGTTTCAAATTAGGGGAGATGGTACTTTAGAAAGTAATAAAGAGACAAATGAGGTGATATCTCAAGAAAAAAAGTATGAATTCAGTTTTGTCATGTTGAGATTGACGTAATAGTGACACAATGACAATGTTAACAATTTCTCTAAGTATTCCTTCATCACACATTCACTTGGGGCCACTATGTGCCAGAAGCTGGCTGGCCTGAAGGCTGGGGCAATAATGGCGGGCAAGATACACATGGTCCCTGCCCTTACCAAGCTTAAAACTTACATGGCAAGACCAACAAGTAAGAAGGTATTGGGCTCAACCCATTGAGAATTCACAGACACTGAAAATACCTACTTCCCAAAAACTTGCGGGGAAGAAAAAATAAAAGGCAAGATCCTGCTCTGAACTGGCCAAAAAGGAGAGCCCTCATTCTACATTAAGAGCAAATAAACAAAATATGAGTGGTAGAAAATGTGAAAATGATTTCTAAAGAAATCAAAACTTTAATAAATTGGCAAAGGAGTAAGAACTAAAGCAATCTTGAAAGGTTTAACAAGTTGGAAACTTGGGAAGGGAAAAATTTGCTATTAATTGTGAAATAAATTTTGGTTTAAAACATGCTTTACCCTTCATCAGGACCAATTTGAAAACTTTATTTCAAATTAGGATATATTTCAGACAAATGTATGTATACTCTTCCATTCAAAGCCCACTGAAAATAAAAACTGTAAATGAAGCACATCCGCTTTCCAATAAGAATTTAGAAAAGGATTTAAAAACAAGGGAGGCCCATGCAGACCCTATGCAAATATGAATAGAAACATGCCACAAAGGATTAAGTGACATTTCACTAATACTTCCAAGCTTAAAGCAAAACAAAAAATGAGTTTTCTCACTGGAAACTTATTACCCAAGAGCTTTGATAGAGAAAGTCCCAAGTCAGGGTGTAAAGAAAAAAACTTCAATACATTATTTTTATAGGCTATGTGAGACTGTACAAAGGTAAAATGATTTTTAAACATCAGAGACTATATAGAGAGTGCCAAATAACAATGGATAAAATGATACCAGTTGGTGTTCCTGTAGCAAGCCAAAAGCATTCAGATCCGAATGGTTTTGCAAGAAGCTTTTCCTGAGGGAATACTTCAGCTGTATTAATATTCCAATTTTTAAGTAGTAATGATCCCCTGTAGCTATTATTGCTGGTTCTATCCTACTGAATCAGCCTAAACTCTTTAAAAATCTGTATGAACATATGAAGGTAGATTTCTCCAAATTTGCTTTTATTTATATGCATTTGCAGTTCTGGTAGATTTATTCGGGTGCTCATAATATGTGCAGTATTTCCAAAGCTTTTAAATAAAAAGACTATTGTTTTTTCCTCGAACACCACAAAGACTTGAAACCTTAGCTCTTTATTAGCTGTGCTAACTAGAAAGAAAGGAGGCATAGGTAAATGAAATATACAAGTACTGTAAATGCTACTTTTTAGTCATTACTGTTTAATTCTTCCCTTTAAGTCATGTCCTAAGAGTTCCCTATTTCAGTCAAAAATACCTTGATTTATTGATTTTGAATATTGTGATTTGACACACATGATGCCGTCTATTTGAGGAGAACAGAGCCTAGATGTGTGTGCAAGGGGATGAGGGTGAGATCTGGTGTGATCTGAATAGCGTGGGCCTTAGAGGTGACTGCCTAGGTTAAAATCCTAGCTCTGTTAGGTCATCTGTCCTTCCTTTCTCTGTATTCATTATCTCCTGTGCTATTACACCATGGCAACATCTATCAGTTAGAATCAATCAGATAAATTCTTTCATGGAAGGGTCAGTAGAACCAAGTGAAATTAAAGGATAGGCTTGAGGGCAGGGGAGGAAATTATACCCAAAAAACAAGCAGACTCAAAGACTTATAAAAAAAAGTGAATAAATCTAAAAATCAGGTTGCATTTTGCTGTAAGCATACCGAATTAACTTCCTTTTCTTCTCCCTCCCTTCCCTCTTTTTCTTCTTTTTTATAAGAGAATTTTCTTAAAATGAAAAGGAAAAAGCAATCCATAAATGTTTATTTTCTCAGCCTTGGCACCCTGGACTAATCCACTAGAAACTGGAATTATCATAAGAAAGCATGTTCTTTTAAGAGTCCATTTTCCAAACAAAATAAGTCATGGGATTAGTGGTGGGTCAAATAAGGAATATTTCAGATTCTTTAAAACACTTAAAATTATTTTTCCAAAAATTGGGTTTTGGAAGTATCTTTTATGTGCCCTTTTCAAAGTATTTATCCCTTGAGAAACATGAACATATGAAGAAAAAATTGGTTTTTTAAGTCTAGATTTCCTAATCAAAGTCATATGAAAGGTACTTTTTGAGAATATATAAACACTTTTAAAGGTCTTTCGTTTTAGTTCAATTTAGACAAAAATAAATAAAACACTACAAAAAATATACACACAGCCAACAAATACATGAAAAAGTGCTCAATATCCTTAGTACAGGGAAATACATATTAAAACTAATGAGATAGTATTATACTAGAATAGCTAAATGAGAAATGTTGACAACACAAAATGCTGGTTAGGATGAGGAACAATAGAACGCTAATCTATTGCTTGTGGTACTGGAGGTAGAAAAGTTAGGCTAAACATATTAACAGTTAAATATACATCTTTCTATAACCCAGCAATTCCACTTCTAGGTATTCTTCTAAGAGAAATTAATGTGTATGTCCTCAAAATTTTATACAGAAATGTTTATAAAGTCTGTATTCATAAAAATCAAAATTCAACACAATTCAAGTGTCCATCAACAGGAGAATAAACCTTAGAATATTACTCTAGAATATTTCAAATAATAGAATAATACTCAAGAATAAAAAAGGAATGAACTATTGATAGTTGAAATGTCATGAATGAATCTTAAGAACATGATAAATGAGAGAAGACACACATACAAAAGCAGCCCATACTATATGATTCCATGTATATGGAATTCTAGAGTAGGCAAAATTAAACTATGGTAATGGAAACCAAAATAGTGGTTGCTTCTGGAGGAAGGCAATTTTCAGGGTGATAAAAATGTTCTATTTCTTGATGGGTATAGGATGATACATGGTTATATGCATTGTCCTTACTCAAACTATAAACTAAAGTCTGTGTATTTTACTATGTTACAAAACTTACAATAAAATTGTATTAAAAAACCTTTTAAGACTTAAAAATCACTTTGAATATATTTAAAACACATATCACTTTGAATATATTTAAACTTTAAAAATGTCTTGATTGAAGCTTAAAAATTTTGAGTGCTTGTCCAGATGAAAATTTCTGAATTTTGAATAGTAAATATTTTGATAAATAAATACCATTTTATAACCAATTTAGAATCATGGTTCAGCATTTAGCGTAGTGCCTAGAACATAGTGCCAAATGTGTGCATTGAATGGATGGAGGGATGGATGGGTGGCAGTAATTTTTAAAAATTGCCTAGATTTTTCTTATTTGTTCTTCCATAGACAATGATAGCCTCATCTTCAACTCTGTGATTTTTCTCTGCCTATGTCTTTCCCTGTGAGTCTCTCCAGTTTTTGAAGCCAGTGATTCTCAAACATCAGTGGCAGTAGAATCACCTGGAAGTCTTGTTGAAACACAAATGCTGGCCCCACCCTAGAGTTCCTGCTTCAGTAAGTCTGGAGGGGGTGGGAGAATTTGCCTGGCTGGACATGGTGGCTCAGGCATATAATCCCAGCTACTTGGGAAGCTGAGCCCAGGGTTTCGAGGCTGAAGTGAGCTATGATCACACCACTATATTTCCAGCCTGAGTGACACAGTGAAACCCTGGCTCTTTAAAAGAAAAAAAGAATGTTTGACAAATTTCCAAGTGATAATTATGCTGCCTGGTTTGGGGACCACACTTTAAGAACTGGATTAAGCAGTTCATCAATCATCATATTGAAGATTCATTCTTTTTCCAGTCACCTTTCCACCTTTTAACAGTCTTTTCTAACTGCCTTCAGCCCCCTTTTTCTGACCTTTTATTATACTTATCATTGAATAGCCATCAAATAGCCAACTTGCTATTTGACTCCTTCAATAGTTTATTATTTTGGGAAGAAATAACTTGTGTTTTCTCTTCAGGTGGATGATAACTTTCTCCCAGTAGGGCCCCTGACTTGTGTATCTTTGTTCACCTCACACCTAGAGTGGGCTGCACAGAGAATAGGTGACAAGGAAATGCTAACGGTCCTGATATTTATACATTCTTCTAAAGCATGTACAGATACTGTTAAAAACAATTGCTAATTTTCAGACGAAAACCAAAATTTTCCATTATGGTGAATTACCTGTCATTGGGACAGTGACTTGGCAAAGTCCAGTCATGGTGTGGATTGATGAGGAAACCCCAGGACAGGAAGACGGAGCTTGGTGTCAGAGTGCCAACCACCAGCTGGAGAGGTTTGCGAGAACGAGTTTTACCTACAGAGGCAGCATACAGGTTAATTCTGGAAACATCTGGTATATTGTCATGATTTGAGTAAAATGCATAAAGATGACTAGGTACGATGATGAAAAGTGTGAAAACATCAAGTTCCTGTCATTCTATTTCGAAGATTTTATGACACTGGCCTTAGAAATTATTTTTCAGTTTGTTATGACCGGCTCAGGAAATTGTTTCATCTTGCTCAGGATGTAATACCCCACCTTTCCTTTCAGGCAACAGATATAATTTTTGTCTTTGTAATCTGTATTTGGGAATAATGTAATGACTAATGGATTATTAATAGCTTCCATTTCATATTTGTATCTGCCACATAAATTTTAATTAATCATTTTGAAGATTCAAACTTAGCAAAATAATTATTTGGTCATGCAAGCCTTAGGTTCCCTAAATGTCATTATCTTCATACATTGTGAGCTAAGCCAGTAATGTAGTAAAAATAAAAGTAGATTATGATTGAGGAGACCTGGATTTGAGTTTTGACTTTGCTCTTACTGTGACTTTGGACACCCTTGAAACTTCATGGGGCCTTATTTTTCATCTGTAAAATGTATGAGATCATTGCATTACATTAGTGAAAATTAACTCAGAGATTAAAAAGAATATCAGAATCACCTCAGGGTTTGTTCAAACTATATGTGCCCCCTAGCTTCCCTCCAGGCGCTAATCTGCCCTCGTTGGAGGCTAGACACAGACCATTTGAATTGCCATCATATTAGGCACTGTTACAGGTGGATCTGGAATGATTTACAGAGAAGGATAAACACATGTTTGCAACCAAGTAAACAATAACTATTCTTGAAAATTATTTTAAACATCTCTAAAAAAATCATCTGTCCTACAATGAGACAATTTGCCACCACTAGATTATGTGTATTCTGGGTTCTGAAGGTTTCTTACTGGAATAACAACTTACAGAACTTACATCTGACAGAAGCAACATGCATGGCAGAGTTTTCAAGAGCATTTGGAATGAAATTATAAAGTGCTACTAAGGTGTGATCATGCTCTTGACTTTTCTTATATATTTTTATACATTTGTATTATAATCATACTTGTTTCAAGAAACAGTTCAATTACCATTCATATGAAATGAACCCCATGGAACCATATTTATGCTTGACTTTATTGTTTAATATTTTGGAATACAGTCTTAAAATATTGAGAGTATATTTATTTTAAAGTGTGTGGAAAACTGCCTGGGCAACTTTCACTAACAAGTTGTAAGGAGTGATTGAAATTTCCCTTTTGCTTTGGGATAAGAGGCCAGGAAAAAAGAAATGTGTATTTTTCTAAATGCTAAACCACTCAATGCTGCTTTAAAAAGAAGTGGAAATCAACAGGAGGAGAGGGGATTGTGGCAACTGATTGCTGGCAACCAGGTTTGGGCTGATACATCTAGGAGCCCGAGTACAGAGCTACAAAGGCCCTTTGTTCAGTATAACTGAATAGCTGAATGCTCTCCCTCCCATTTTATCCCTATAGAAAAATATAGCAAACAAACAAACAAAAAAAATCCTTTTTTGTGTGTGATATCCAGTGTACCATAAAAGAGAAACATGGTTAGGAGATCATTATTCATAAATGAGCTCACATTAGAAAAAGAAAAGCAAAATGTGTGATCAACTCTTATCTACAGAGTTAGGAAGCAGCAACAGCAGATAGAAAAGCATATTCACAGCTTCTACAGTTCTTCCTTATAGCAATGGCCAGCTTATTTGATCTGAGATTTAGCAGTAAAATCAGATGTAGGATTTTACTCTTTAGTCACGTAGAAAGTTTCTATTTATTTATTTATTTACATGTTATCTACTTTCCTATTTCAAGTCTTCCTAGGCTGGGGAAAATGGGCACTGCTGTTGTTATTATTTTATGAAAGGAGTCCTTCCTTCTATGTTTGAGTAGTATGTAGAAGGGAGAGATAAAGAGTAAATAAACCTAAGTTCCAATCCATTTAATACACAAGAATGAGTTATCCTTTTGAGATGTAAACAGTCTCCTTAATCAAGTTTAGACATAAAACTCTGCCCTTAAAGTCTGAAAGGCACAATGGCGGGCATGAGTCCACACAGTATAGAATAGAATAGGCTAATAGGAGCTGACCCTAGATGAGCACCCACAGTGGGCCAGGCGCTGTCATCGACTCATTTAATCCTCACAACTGGATGACACAGCAGGACCCAGGAGGAGAGAGGTCCAATAACTCATGTCAGTCCCTGCAGTTCGCAGGTGGTGGTGCCTGGAGCAGACCCTAAGCAGTCTCCAATGCCGGGGGTGCAACTTCCCCAGCGGGGTAAACTGTTGACCAAGGGCCTAAATCTCCCACTCTGCATTCCGAAGGCATCCTAAGGCATTTGGTCTCCATGGGTACAAAAAAGATGAAAAGTCATGGTTTCAAGTTAATAAAAGGAAAAAAAAAAAGGTCAATGAAAATGACTATACCTGAGCATGACTTCTTTTGACTTGGAGGGGGAGCAGGTCGCACAACTATTAGATATTTCGGCTCTGCATCTGGAAACAATAACATTATGTATCAGAAAAATCCTTTAAGAACCAGCATTGGAGGCAGCACACCCAAGGCCTGACTCAGCATTTCCTGGAGTCAGTCGCCCTCCATAACCATACCGCCAGTGAGTAAGAGGACCCAGGAATCCAAAAAGTTAATGCTTCCTGAGAAGCCTGTTGAGTCTATTAAGTTTTTAAAATGAAAATTAAGACCAGATTTTCAAGACCAATTGGACAAGGGTGAGGGAAAACTCTTAAAAGAATCATGCTAGACACAGATTTTATGCCACATTTTCATCAATGCTTTTCTCCACAAAGAGATTTTTTTAAAAATAAGATTATGCCCATTCTGTTAGCCTGCTCCTCAGGGGGTCAAGCCCAGTGCTCCAAAATGAAAGAAGGAAATCAAACACAAGACACATAAGTCTTACCTATTGCATGATGTGACATGGTTCACTGTTCTGGGAACATGAATATTTATAATGCCCTACCTAGATTTTATCCTGTTTGTATAATCTCTTAGCCTGTTTTCATATCCAATATATTTTAATGAACAATTTATAAGTTAGTATTGTTTTCAGTTTAAAACATGTATCAGTGAAATATATAGAAATTCTTAAAAGTATTTAAGAATTTAAGGTTTTAAATAAAATTATGTTAATGCAATCAATGTGTACCAACTCAATAAGAGGCTATCATTTATCAAAATTTTTAAAAAATTATGATTTCCAAGATGAATGGTTGGTTAAACATTGTAAATAAACCAAATGTATCTTAGGCATACAAAATAGCCTTGTATAAGCAGCTTTACTGGATTAACCAGTTGAGGAGTATTATTTACAATATTTCTTCAGGAACTTTGGACCCTGAAACTCACGCTGTACCAGATTTCAGTTGGACGCTGTAGTCAACCGGAGCTCATCCCTACTTACTCAGGCAGACGTCCTATCTTTGTTTTGTTTTCATTCTGGGTTCAAATATCTCCCCTGCATGAGTTTGGAACAGAGGTTCTCTCTCTCCTGAGGCTTTGCAGAGCTGACTGTATTTTCAGAGGGAGACAACCTGGCAACTCAAGTGCTTTTAATGACTTGTGCCTTTGTTTTGTTCTGGATGCTCCATACAATCCTATTTGCTATAAACTGCCACAGTGATTACCAATGAATAAAGATACCCAGGCAGCCTCTTGAACTCACCTCAGAGCCTTGCTGACAACTGTACAGTTGCCTCACAGCCAACACACAGAACAAGGAGCGTTCATTCTATTCCAGAGTATACGTGTTCCAAAGGCCATCTTACTTAGTGGGGCTTATATAGGGAATGCTTGACCCAAATCAAATAAACAAGTTCCCTAGTAGAAATCCAATAACCATTTCCTGATCTTTGGGGGCATATAGAGCAATAAACTAGCATGCACTGAGTGTTGCTTTCTATGTGCAGGCTACTGTATTAAGAACTTTACATTTATAACTTAATTATTCCTCATGGCAATCCTACCTGGAGCCTGCTATTATCGCCCCATTTTATAGATGGGATCACTGAGGCAGGGTCATCTTCACGGGCACATGATGTATATAGTTGCACAGGGCTCCATGCTCAGAAGGGTCCTATGCTTGGATTAATGTCTTGCTGTCACCATCTTGAAATTCTTACTATTTTTATCTTTGAACTCGTATTTTGAAAGGGAAGTCTGATGGGACAACGGAGCATGCACGTGAGCAGGGAGACAAGAACTACACGCACATCTGCAGTTCTTGCCTCCCTGTTCACATAGGGCATTTGAGGCGCTCCTTTAGCATCGGATTCCAAAGGAACCCGTAAGTGTGGGAGTTCAGCGAGACTCAAAGGCAGAACAAGGTAAGTATGTCACACCGATGGCTGAGTAAGGGGGCAGGGAGGGTGAACTAAGAGCTGTGAAAGGTCACACTTTCCATTCCGACCAGAACTTGCTTCAAATGCAAAAAGAAGACAATGGCATTTTAAGAAATATGAATAACCAAGGAACCCTATCAAAGCCTTTTTATTTTCATACACATTAGCCAACCACTTACACTTATGTCGCCCTTCATTAACTAACCACTTAAGCTGAAACAATGGCATGGAAGGAAAGGGAAAGATAGAGCATCCCATGGTAGCTTTCCTTTTTAGTTCTCTTCATTTTAGTTCTCTTCAACAAAAAAAAGAGTGTTGGTTAGAATATGCACATTATCAAGAAGTGAAATAAAAAGTGGAGTTTTGTACAGCATTTCTACTATTCTAGTAAGAACAGAATACATATGTGTGTATGAACTACAAAGTACAAACTGTGCAATTTCAGTAATTCCACTTAGGAGTTAAAGGCTTTCTTTCACATTTCCATTTAAAACAGGCACTGCATAATATAAAAGGTAAACCATGCTAATAATTTTAAATTTTAATTTTTCTCTATGTCATTAAATAGCAAATAAAATAACATCATGACAAGAGGAGGTACCATGGGAGAAAGGAAAAAGCTTTATATCTTAGTATCTTTAATGACAATTTTTTCCCTGTTTTTTAAACCAGGGGTCCTGCATTTTTATTTTGTACTTGGCCCTACAAATTATGTAACTGTCTTAATCAGGTCTACAGAATGCCCTTTTAATAAATCTCAGGAATTCAATTCTAGAAAACAAAGGTAAACCCCTAGTTTTCCTGAATTGTTCTCATTGAAGCAGATAGCTAACCTTTTAGTTCCTTTGTTGATACTAATTGTGCCTAGTGTTTTTTTTTTTTTTTTAAAAAAGACCCAGGAAAATAAAATATTCAGAAGCCAAAGATAGTACCATGATTCAAGACATAGAGTTATATGAACAATTTAAAAATAATTTTTTGTTATTATCACATCATAAATTATAGGCTGTGACAGCCAATTACAAATTGGAACAGATGTTAGGACGTGGGTGCATGTGTCGGCTCTCACTGCTCATTAAATACTTCCAACATACACGTATTTCCACAGTCTTTGTGCTCACCGGAATCACAGGCATGGAAAATAAAACTAGATTTTTATTTCTGTTCTGTACAGTGAAATTCTGTGTGGATTTGTAGCATCCTGGAAATAAATACATTGCAGCCTGATCAAAAATTCTGCCAAAATATATTACTTCTTCATTTAGAGAAGATAGTTAAAATTCAATTTAAGAAAATTTGTATAGAATGCAGTTACTTTAACAAACTTTCCATTCCCAATAGTTAAGCCTATGCAATGTTGCAGACTCATTCAATCTAATTTGCTTAATGTTTTAAATGTCCTATGGTGGATGATGGGGACAGGTTACTGTTTAAGGAAATCCACTGACTTCTTTTGGAAAAAAAAAAAAAAAAAGGATATTTTTTGGTAATGCAAATAATCCTCCCATGATTGTGGTTTGCTAAATCCCAATTCAATTCTCACATTCTGGGGCTGCTTCCATGAGAGGACACCTGCATTGCAAACCTCCCTCTTCAAGATGCGGTCACAGGGAAGCTTATTTCTGCCATGCAAACTTTCTGCATGAAAGTGTCCATGAAAGAAACATAAAATAAGCCACGATAATCCTAAAAGAAACCAGGTAATGGGGCCTGAAAAAACACTAAATAATTATTTACTTTTGCCATCATTTTAGCAATTTGGTTTCATGTCGAGCTAAATTTCTGGTCATAACAGCAGAGGCTCTGGAGCCTGGGATTAAATCCCACTCAGCTACTTAAGAGTACAGCATAAAACACTTACTCTGTGCAGCTCAGTTTCCTCACTGACAAAATGGGGAAAAAATATAGTACCTAGTCATATAGTGTCCTTAACAATGATTAAAGCTATAACAATGCCTAATACAGAAATTGCTGATTAAATGCTAGCTGTCATAATGACAACGATGCTGATCATGTCTAGAAAGCAGAAGTTTGTACCCTGAGAGGTCTAAGGACATGTTACAATGGAGGACGGACATTTTTCAAAAAAAAATTTAAGCAAACATCACAGGTTCCAAAGTGTGGAAATTTCAAAAAGAAGAAAATTACAGACCAAACTCATTCATAAATGTATCAATGCAAAAAATCCTAAAAAATTACTGACAAACAGAATTTGGCAACACATAATAGAATACTACATTATGACTCAGGATAGTTTATTCTAGGAATGTAACATAAGGGGAAAAAGTAAACTTATTTCCACAGGTGCTAAAAAGACATTTGACAAAAATCCAATGCCAATTCTTCATTAATAATTAAGAATACAGTGGAATACTTCCTAAATATTATAAAACACCTTTTAAAACATATAAGCTAAATATATGATCCTCTTTTACTAAATATTGAGGCTGTATCTATATATATATTTCTATTGAACAACTCTTCCCGGCTTTATCAGAATACTCACTCTCATTTATTTCCCCTACTCTATCTTTTTAAATGTTACACTATGACTCTACTTTTGTAACCTACTTCAGATTTTTGATTGAGTAGCTAAGACTCTATCGCAGCAAAAAAAAAAAAAAAGAAAATGCAGCCAACCATATTACATTCAACCTCCTCTTTGAGGTACCTCCTTGCTTTATAGAGTATGATTATCTTCAACTTTATTTTCATTTGTTCTCAGGGAGGATCACAAAATCAGCAATTGGCAACATGGCGAGAGTGAATTCAAGTTAATACAGTACTCCTACTCATAGTCTGTTTTGTTTTAACTACATAAGAAAAACGTAAGTCCTCCAATAAATACACACAGAATATCAAACAACAGTTTGGAACAATCTTTTGATCTAGTGCTCTTCCTAATTCTTTTCCTCAGTCACTGAAGTCGTAAGATGTAGAAAGATGCCTTCTCCATCAACTAAGGAGAGCCTGGCTTGCAAATGTCTTGTTGGAAACCAGAGCTCTGGGGGACAGGTAAGTTTCGCTCTGGCAGAAGAAGGAAGAGGCATCCTCTGCTCATACTATTTTGCTTTTAAGGTCTAGGTCTCTTTGGACCCAATCCGGATCAAACACTCTTCAAGGCCCAGAGAGGTTTC